TGTTGTGAGGATAAAATGGAAGGAGGGGAAACGATGTGGGGTTTTTTTGCATTTGTGTGTATGCATTTGCCTGGAAATCCTGGCCGACTTCTGGCAACTCCTAGTGGGGCTTGGACATTTCAGAGAAGTGGCTTGTTATTGCCTGCCTCTGCATACTGGCCCTGGTATTCCTTGGAGGTCTCCCATCCAAGTACTTGCCAGGGTTGGCTCTGCTTAGTTTTTTTTTTTTTTTTTAACTTTATTTTTACCAAGTTTTTCAAAACATTACATAGATCATCATATTAAGTTTTTCATCTTTTCAGAGTTGTCAGTCCATAATTTACATCCTAATACAATTGGGAAGGTTCACCTTCTCATTAAATTCAAGGTTAATTTGTTTGACGTTCTATCCAATCGTATACTCTGCTTAGCTTCTGAGATGTGCTGAGACTGGGCTTGCCTGGGCTATCCAGGGCAGGGCACCAGGAGAACAATGTTGGAAGCCACTCTGGCTCCCCATTAAGGAAAAAACTAGGCTCTAAATAAAGCACCTGCTCTACCTCTGAGCTATGGCCCGTTTCCCAAATAAGCATTTAAGGCTATATGTTATCTTAAGGTTTAGGGGGAAAGGACCTAGCATGTATAAACATCCTCAATGCCAAGTTGGAGCAACCCCATTGCAGGTATGTAGGGTTTTTTTCAAAACGTCTCCAGTAGTGCAGGATATCTGAAGGATTCCTGCTTTTGTGTCTGGGGAGACGGCTGGGTCCGTCATCATGCAGAATTTTAAGTGGAACTCCTCCACCTGAGTTTGGAAAATGTTAACAATCAATATTTTTCTCCGTTCCAGGACTCAAAACCATCCCCACAGCCACTGGGCGGCGTCTGCTGGTATCAGGCTGGTGGGGGCTTGTGCGGCACCCCAACTATCTGGGGGACCTCATCATGGCTTTTGCTTGGTCCCTGCCCTGCGGTAAGTGGGAATCAGAAACCTCTAGGGAGCTGCTAAAACAAGGTCATCGGTGTGGTGTAATGGTTACGCTGGGATCTGGAAGACCCAGGTTCTAAACCCGCTGTGCCACAGACACTTGCTGGGTGACCTTGGGCCAATCACACACACTCCCATTCTTACCTAACTCTTAGGGCTGTTGTTTGGAGCATAAAATGGAGGCGGGGAGAGAAATAGTATAAGCTGCTTTTGGTTCCCCCCCCCTTAGTAATTATACCAAAAGTAGGGTATAAATGTCTCAAGGTATTTATTGATTCAGTTGGGTTAACCGTGTTGGTCTGAAGTAGCAGAATAAAGTTTGAGTCCAGCAGGACCTTTAAGACCCAAAAAAGTTTTATTCTGGGTATAAGCTTTCACATCCACAAACAATGAAGTGTGTATGCACATGAAAACCAGGCCAGAATAAAACTTTGTTGGTCTTAAAGGTGCCGCTGAACTCAGGACTTTGTCCTGTATTTACTTACTTCATTTATACCCTACCTTTCTCCGCAATGGGGACCCAAAGCAGCTTACACCATTCTTCTGTTTTATCCTCGCAACAAGCCTGTGAGGTAGGATCAGCTGAGGGAGGGAGGGAATGGCCCAGGGTCACTCAGCAGGCTTCCGTGGCAAAGTATGGATTCAAACCTGGATCTCCTAAATCCTAATCCAACACTGTAGCCGCTACACCTCACTGGCTTTCATAAATAAAATGGGTTGGGATGGATTGCTGCGTCCTTCCCACTTCCTGTCACTCTTGTTCCAAACCACATATATTTATTCCCCCAGGAGAATGCACAAATCCTGTTGCCTGAAAAACAAAAAGGAGAGAGGGACTCCTAGTCCTGGGCTGGATAACATTGGGTTGGATCCAGACTGCATTTCCCAGTGGCAGAATGGAACTTTCGTGCCTTCTTCTTTCCACTCCAGCCCACCCCCCCCAGTCTCCCAAAAATGCTGCTCCTGGGGAACAAGAGACCCTGAGGAATGTCGTGGGGGGGGGGGTCTGTGGCAGGAAGCAGGAGTTAGCAGAAATTTCCAGTTTACTGTGGATCTAACCTGTTGTTATAGTTCCTATGAGTATTTTATAAATTCCTCTAAGTGCTCATAAAATGTACTTTGGGATTGTTGCAGTTTAACGTTGTACAGATCTAGGATTTTCATCCTTAGAACCATCTCCCTTCCTTATTAAATTTGGTAGCCCACTCTGTGGGACAATTCTATTGGGGCAATGGTAGAGGTCCACCGGTTTGCCTGTTTTCTGTCTCAGTGGTCACCTGTCTCTTTCCCAGGCATCAGCCACATCCTGCCTTATTTCTACGTCCTCTACTTTACCTTGCTTCTGATCCACCGGGAGGCCAGGGACGAGCACCAGTGCCTGAGGAAGTACGGCCTGGCCTGGCAGGAGTACTGCCGCCGAGTCCCTTACCGGATCTTCCCATACCTTTACTGAGTCGCTGCTTGGCTGGTTAGCCCTCTAATCACATTGACAACACACATCCATCACCTCCCTTCTGGGTGGCTACAGGGAAGCTCGCACCAAAACGGCCTGGTTGCACAAGACAAAGAGGGGCCACTGTCTTCGCAGGGTCCCACAGCAGCCGCATAGAACCCCTGCCGGTCTGTTTCCAGATATCTGAGCATTGTTTCCACGGAATGAAAGACCATTGCCTTCACAGCCAAGATGGCTGACTCCGCCCATGGAAAAATCCACATTTCCCAGTCAGACATTGTGAGACTACTTGCATCTGGAAATTACCATTTTTTTAAACCAAACCTGAATATGTACATATCTAACCCATAGATGGCTCATGGACAGGGCTGGGTAGACCCTGTGCCCATCACAAAATATTCTAACCTTACAAAGAAACACATTCTATGACTGGAATTAGTTTATGCAGATGTGTTAGTTTTTATATCATTGGGTCTGCTCCTGGAACTCAAGGACAAGGGAAAGGAACTCTACTGAAGTATTGGTAACATTACAAGTCCTCTTCCGGCCTCTCTCTGCCTTGTAAGACTTCGGAAAGTATCAGTTTGCAAGTTCTGAAACCAGAAGGAAACTTTTTTTAAATCAAAAAAGAAAGTAAAGCTTCCTAGGATGCAGTTTCTGCAGCAGATACCACCCAAGTTGTGTAGAAGACAGACCACTATCGCTACGAAACATGAAATATTGTGAATTTAATTTAGGAAAGTTAAAACCATCTAACAGCTTTTGAACTATAAATGTCAAGAAATTCTTAGTGAGAAAGGAAAATCACTGAAAAAGCTGGATCATGAATGCTTGTGTTAGCTTGATGTCTGCGGACTAGATTTAACTAGCATCCATTTTGATAATGCAACTAGAGTTTTGGCTATAATAATGAGCTTTTGCCATTAAAATACTACATTTCTTAGCTACCCTCAGAAGGCAAGGAGGACGCTTGTGCAACTTCTGGAGTCCTCCTGATGAGGAAAAAGAGAGAATTTTAACAAATTGTTTTCAGAATGATTTGCCAGGTTTTCTGGTGTTGTAGCCAGAAAAATTATTTGCAGAAAATGTATGCCATTTTATTTGAATCACCTTGTACACATGGAAGAACTCAGAGCTCCCAAAGGAAATGCTGAACGGTCGGAGGGGGGGCACAAGGATCTGCAACATGATGTTTGGGCGCATGGCAGGACAGTCTTTTGGCAGTGCTGACACTAACTCAAATATGATCTAGCTGGAGGAGGAAAGGGGTTTGCTTACTTACTGAAGAGGGCCAGGCTGGGTGAGGAATAACAGGCTTATTACCTTGGGAGTTTTTTGAGGGGAAAGGGGGGAAGAGTAATTTATTTGAATAAAGAATGTATTAAACATCTATTGGATATGGGAATCTCTTTTTTCCCAGACCTTCCAGTAACATTATGGCAGGGAGATAGTGAAGAGGCAGACTTAGAGCACCCTCTCCAACATTTCACTGATGAAAACAAGGGACATATTTAAAACACTCCTCTTCACACAAAAACAATCACTGCTCTAGCCCATTATCACAGATGGCTAAGGAATTTACTCTGGTCGCTTTATACTTTATACGCTTTATATTGCTCTGCAATAGTATGTTCTCTGCTGAATTAAAAGCCAAGGCGACCCTGATCTTCTAGTTAATAGCAAACTAGAAAAATCCAATTGTCCTACACAACCAGCAAAATATATCTAACAACCTGAGAGCAGAAATGCTAGCTCAGACCAAAGGTCAATCTAGGACAGGATTGTGTTTCCAACAGGGGTTAGTCAGATGCCCCAGAGGAACCCAAAGCCCCCATCCCACTTTAGACAGGAAACACCTCAAAGCAGGGGCCTTTTTAATAATTGGGGGGGGGGAGAACACAGATGCCATTTAGCCGTTTTTAAGGTGCGCTCTCAAGTTCATCATCTGACTGCCATTCAGTCTGCTGTTGATACACCTACTAATTTCTTGCAACCAGAGAGGCTTCATTGGGTTAAAAGGAATCCAGAAAGAAAACGGCCTGGCAAGCAAGCTGATAGTTTATTACAACCCTGCTCCCCATCTCTCTCAAAACCCCAGCCATGCCCTCTCTCAAGGTATTCTCTTCCCTGGGAGAAGGAGTGCTAATCCATTCCACTTGGGCATCTGTGCTTGCGACTAATCCAGAATTCAGTCCCATCCACAGGGCACTGAGTCTGTTTCTGGCTCCGACCCTCATCCAGCAGGTCTCCAGGAGGGAGGACCCCCTCCCCACCCAAGGCCAGCTGGTGTACCAGTTCCAAGACTCCAGTGGCACTGAGTCTGTTTCTGGCTCCGACCCTAATCCAGCAGTTCTCCAGGAGGGAGGACCCTCTCCCCACCCAAGGCCAGCTCGTGTACCAGTTCCAAGACTCCAGCCTAGCCCTTCAGTCCAATTCTTCTATCAAGGTCTTTTTGGGTGGAGGCACTTTGGCCCCCCACATCTTCTCCAGATCCTGGGTGACAGCCCCCACCTCCTTGATGGAGTCCAGATGGGCCTTGTATTCTCTCTGCACCTCCAGGGCCAGGAGGGTTAACGCCCCTTCGTTATCCTTCACCCAGGACAAAAGGAAGTCGCACTTCTTCTTTGCTGTGTACAGCCTGGATTGATCCCCGGCGGGCACCCGCCTCCTCCCCTTGCTCAGCAGCCGGGAGAGGTGGGCGAGGGCAGCCAAGCTATACCCCTTTTGCCTGGCTTGGCATTCCCCCATTAAGATCTGGGCCACCGCCGCCATCACCCCGGCGTTCCCCAGGAGGCATTCGGGGTATCGCCCCACAGTTATGGCTTGCAGGGCCGCCTGCAGGGCCTCTGCCGTGGACCCGAAGCCCTGCTTGGCCCCCAGCGCCCCCGAGACGTCCAGAACCGTCTCGCAGAATTCCGGGAGCAGCTGGGCCTCCTCCGCCTCGCCGTTGTAAAGCGCCAGGGAATAGGCATAGGCGTACAGCACGTTGGGCACCTGGAAGCGGACCAGGGGCGAGACGGGCGAACGGGTCAGGCTGCTCAGGGGGGGGATGACGACGGGCACCGGAGGCACGGAGGTCGAGGCATCCGCCGGCTGTGCAGGGCTCTGGGTGCTTGCGGAGATCTCTCGCAGAGGCCCCGGAGTCTGAGACTGCTGCAAGGCTTCAGTGCACGGGGAGGGCTGCGGTTGCTGCAAGGGGGCGTGGAGGGTCTCGGGGACCGCGACGGCCTCCCCCAGTTCCTGAATCAGCGCTGCAGCACGGCCGCTCCCCGTCCACCAAGGCTTCCAAGGGGGCAAGAGGGCCGAGATCTCTCCGGTGTTCAGCAACCGCTGGAAACGCTTTCTTTGGTCCGGGCTCAGTTGCTCCCACAGCGCTTCGGACTCCACCTGCTCCAACCCGGGATCGAGGCCTAGCTGGAGGTCCGCATCCCCGGGCTCGCGTAGCTCCTGCAGGCGGAGGAGGGCCTCCTTTAGACGGCGTTGGGAGGCCGGATCCTCCCGCTGGCCCTGGAGGTGTATTTGTAACTCCCGGCGCTGGAAGAGCTGGGCGCAGGAGCCGTGTTCCTGGTAGCACGGCACGGAGCAAAAACGCAGGTGGCAGCGCGGGCAGATGTAGGGCGCCCTCTTGGCCAGGCACAGCTCACAGCAAGGGTCGGAAGAGGGACTCGAACTTTCGGCTTCCATCGTCGGGAACACATGCTCGAGGAATCCGAGAGAGTTCGGGAATTTCCGTCAGTTGTCGGTCATTTCCGTTTCTGAAAAGGCCTCGCCTTCGTTTTTACTCGGGCAATTCCGGTCCTTGTCGAGTGGGCCAAGCCGAGCTCGCGACTGTGAGAAGACCCGAGCCGGGAAGGGCAAAGGAGCCTCCGGAGTGCAGGGGCGCTGCCCCACGCCCAAACGGCCAGAGTCGGGAGATAAAGGAGCGAGGCCAAGAGGGGTGGAGAAGTACTTTATAAAGGGCAGGGACGCTGAGGTCGGGGAGCAAAGTTTGAGTTAGGTGAAACCTTGGAGAGCAACTAAATTTTATTCAAAGCGCAAGGTTTCATGTACAAAACACACTTCTTCAGACAAAACTGGAATAAAATCTCAAAAGCTCCTTACAGGAAAAGAGTGGGGAGTAAGCCCTTAGGAGAGAGGCCACTCAGAGCCCAGATGCCTATTGGAATGGGTGGCCAGTAGTTTAAATGGAAGGCAGCAAATTACCACATAAATGCAAGAGAACAGATGTGAGAAATTTAGAGTCCAGTGGCACCTTTGTTGTAGGCACATTTTATGAACCACTTTGTACTCTGCCACTGCCTAACAGGTTTAACTTAGTAGGTATACTTAGCACTTCCATAATACAGATGATTCTAACATCATGGATGTATTCAGGTATTAACTTTCGTTCATTTGTGACTGTTGTTTGAATGCAAGCTGGGAAGAAGGCTGAAATGTTGATACACAGTTATGCTACCCATGACCTTGCTCGTTCTGGCCAGCTACAACTGCACATGTTTCTGATGTCAGTTAGCCTAGCTAGAATGAAGAACAGTAAGCACTCTGTAACCATATCATATAGATACAACATGCAGCTTCATAGCTTCTGAAAGAAAAGTGTATTGTTCTGTTAGGTGTGTACCGTTCTGTTAGGAAAAGAAGAACTCTGCCTGGGAACAACCACCCCCCCCCGTCTTAACCCAATGGGAAATAGGTGATGAAATTTGACAATGCTTGATGGAACCAATAATTCTGTTTTATTTCTCTGATGTAATGTGAAGTATAAAACCCTATGTCTCCCATTGTAACCTTAGGGAGAGCTGTGGGTACTCACGGGTTCAAAACCTTGTTGTGCCTGTACTTTTCCTCCTTTATTAATAAAGTTTTAAAGTTTGGATTCTCCTCTACAAGACTGCCGAGTGCTTTCTCAAATTGGGCTGGGGAAGCACCACCTGTGACAGAGTTTCTGTCTTACACCTTTAAGACCAACAAAGTTTATGTTGGTCTTAAAGGTGTCACTGGACCAGCACAGCTGACCAGATGTGAGAATGAAACTGGAAGAATGCGCTGGAGTCTGGAGCAGCAAGGAGGAGGGCAGGGAGACTCAGCAAGCCGGTGGAAGGGAGAGGTGAAGGAACCCTCCCTCCTCGGCCATTCTGAGACCGGCAGACTGTCAGGGGAGGAGTAGCCAGCCATGGCAGAAGGGGGCAAAGGGGCGGCCTGTCCATGCTGTCATGCATACCCACACACACTCCTTGCTCTTATTTATAGCCCACCTATCTCAGGGAGGCACAAAGCAGATTAAAAAACGTGAAAACCTCCCAAAAACAATGCAGTAGGATCAGGATGAAAGAACTGGGAAATTGTGCAACTAAAAATTGTCTAAGGCCACAATACCACAATCAAGAAAAGGGGTTACAAAGGTCGAGGATGCTGTAGGAAAAAGAGGGAAGCAATACACAGAATGGCCTGACCCCAGGCTAGCCCAATCCGCTCCTATCCCAGAAGCTAAACCAGGTCAGCCCTGGCAAGTATTTGGACTGGAAACCTCCAAGGAATACTACGGTTATGAGGCAGAGGCAGGCAATGGCAAACTACCTCTGAAAACTCTACCGGATTACCATAAATCAGCTGTGACTTGAGGGCACTTTCCATCACCAATACATAAACATCCCAATAAACTACAATACTGTTCCTTACAGAAGCAATCAGTTAACCTGCTCCTTTATATTAGCATATATACCCTCAGAAAGTCCCTCCTGAAGATTTGTTTTGCACATTCTGTGAAATGACAGAAGTAATAATAAGTACAGGGACCTTTTTGACCACCTCTGGCAGGCAACAGGAAGTTCATAAGAACTTGGATCAGGCCAAAGGCCCATCCAGTCCAAAACTCTGTATCACACAGTGGCCAGAAATACCAGTGTCATCAGGAGGTCCACCAGTGGGGCCAGGACATTAGAAGCCTTCCCACTGTTGACCCCCCCCCCCCAAGCACCAAGAAGACAGAGCATCACTTGCCCCAGACTGAGAGTTCCTATCTATAACTTGTGGCTAATAGCCACTGATGGACCTCTGCTCCATATGCTTATCTAATTCCCTTTTGAAGCCGTCCATGCTTGTAGCCGCCACCACTTCCTGTGGCAGTGAATTCCAAGTGTTAATCACTCTTTGGGTGAAGAAGTACTTCCTTTTATCCGCTCTAACCCGACCACTCAGCAATTTCATGGAGTGCCCACCAGTTATTGTATTGTGATAAAGGGAGAAAAGTACCTCTTTCTCTACCTGCTCTATCCCATGCATAATCTTATAAACTTCAATCATGTCACCCCTCAGTCATCGTCTCTCCAAGCTAGAGCCCTAAGTGCTTTAACCTTTCCTCATAGGGAAAGTGTTCCAACCCTTTTATCATTTGAGTTGCCCTTTTCTGCACTTTTTCCAAAGCTATATTATCCTTTTTAAGGTGTGACGACCAGAACTGCACACAGTATTCCAAATGAGGTCGCACTATTGATTTATATAGGGGCATTATGATACTGGCTGATCTGTTTTCAATACCCTTCCTAATAATCCCCAGCATAGCATTGGCCTTCTTTATTGCAGTCACACACTGTCTCGACATTTTCAGTGAGTTATCCACTACAACTCCAAGATCTCTCTCTTGCTCAGTCTCTGCCAGTTCAGACCCCATCAATGTGTATTTATATTTAAGATTTTTGGCTCCAATGTGTAGCACCTTGCACTTGGCCACATTGAACCCAATTTGCCATGTTGACGCCCACTTGCCCATCCTTGACAGATCCCTTTGGAGTGCCTCACAATCCTCCCTGGTTTTCACCACCCTGAACAACTTCATATCATTCACTGCTTACTCCCAACTCCAAATCATTAATGAACAAGTTAAAAAGCAGTGGACCAAGTACTGATCCCTGCAGTACCCCACTGCTTACCACCCTCCTCCACTGAGAAAATTGCCCATTTATACTCTCTCTTGTTTTCTATTAAATAGCCAGTTTTTGATCCATAAAAGGACTTTTCCTTTTATCCCATGATTTTTGAGATTACTTAGGAGCCTTTGATAAGGAACTTTATCAAAAGCTTTCTGGAAGTCAAGGTAAACAATATCTATTGGATCCCCCTTGTCCACATGTTTGTTCACCCCCTCAAAGAACACTAACAGGTTAGTGAGACAAGATCTTTCCTTACAGAACCCATGCTGAGTCTGCCTCAATAGGTTTTGTTCATCTATGTGCCTACTAATTCTTTCCTTAATAATGGTTTCCACCAATTTACCTGGTATCGACGTCAGACTGACTGGCCTGTAATTTCCCGGATCTCCTCTGGAACCCTTTTTAAAGATGGGAGTGACATTAGCTACCTTCCAGTCCTCAGGAAGTTCCATTTTGCTTACAGGAAATACAAAGCCTTCAGTATTCAAAGGACTTTACAGACCCTAGCTTATAAGGTAGGCTGTTATGCCTGTCTTTCAGATAGGTAGCTGAGTAAGAGACCATGTCTTGCTTAGGAGCACCCAGTGAATTAATACCAAAGGCAAGATTTGAACCAGGGATCAACCTCATTATAGTTCATTGTTAGTCCCTATACACCAGACCAGTGGTCTACATTTAAAGCAGTACCTCAACTCCCCTCCACATCCTCTACAGACATCAGGCAAAAGGGGAGTGAAGCATACTGCATTTTTATCCTTATAAATCGGAAACCAAGGACCTGATTTTTTGGAGATATAGGCTGTACTACATTAGAATGCAAGTCAGGGTTAACACAACTGTATACTACCTAATACAACATAATCCCCTGCTGATAGCAAACTGGCACGAGATGCTACACATGGTCCCCGGTCACACTAGCGGGAAAAGCCACAGCAGAAATGCAGCTTTTTAGAGCCACAGCAAATTGAAGCACGGCATCAGGATCATACAGATCCCCCAAGCGGCGCCACATTTGCTCCCCGGCACAATCACATGCCAAGGGGGAAGTGATGGGACGAAGGGTGAGGCGAGGCAGCTGCGCAGTTTTGCGGATGCGGTGTGGCAGGGCCTCGCATACCATGGGATACGGGCGCGTCGGCGATCACACAGCCACCCATGCTGCGCGTTTCCCAGTAAGTAGTAGTCTTTTGCAGGTCTCTTTTAAATCCGCGTTTTTGGCCGGTAGCAATGGGTTGGGGGCGGGAGCGCGACACTTCCCAGATGTTAGCATCTAATCGCGCTGGTTTAATCCGCCCTCAACCCGTCCGTTTCGCAGGGCAAATCCTCCCGCGCGACCGGTGCCATGGCAAACTTAATTTTTCCTACCCACACCCTTCCACTAGGTTGAAGTGGTATAGCCAAAAAACTCTTCACATATCCAATGGATGCTTAAACGTGTACAACTGTATTTGGTCACATCCCTTTGCCCTCTTAACCTTTCCCTTCCTTCTTCATAAACCGCTTGCATTATGCTTAGACTGTGAAGCAGCACGCTGATGCTGAAGTTATGTTACAGGTCAAAGCCAGCACTGCACTTGTATAACAGGACAGAAGACCAAAGAACTTGCCTGTTTTAAATACTTCATTTAACATCTCGTTTTTGTGAACATAGTTAAAATGGCTGGTAAGGTTTATACATGCAGCCATTGAAGACTTCTACGTAACTTTAGAACCCCTCAACAGCATTTAGCCTTTTAAGGGGAAGGTTGATAACCAGGCAATTATAAAGACTTAAGCATCTT